CTTTTAAATGAAACCAGAGAGCGTTGACAGAGAGAAGGTAGAAATGAATCAGCCTGTAACTGAAAATATAGGAGGACAACAGATCTGCTTCATGGAAGAAGAACCTCAGCTTAGCCTTTTAGCCTTCGCACTAGCGCCAACGCTAGATTTCCTTACATGTATTAACTCAGCGCTAGCGCAACAAACAAACTAAACTGAGTGATGAGAGGAGAATGTGTAGCGTCGAGCTAATACACATATATGGTGATAGCGTTGGGGCTAACGCTAAAGCTAACAGGCTAAGCTGAGGTTCTTCTTCCATGAAGCAGCTCTGTTGTCCTCCATCTATATTTTCAGTTACAGGCTGAATCATTTCTACCTTCTCTCTGTCAACGCTCTCTGGTTTCATTTAAAAGAGTCGATCATTAGATATCGTCCAAGATTAACCTTCAGGGTGGATATAGCTCGCTCACACGATGACCTGTCCACATCATCATTTACCCAGAATGCTTTGCGTGTAAATAAAATGGCTCTGTCCATGTTAAAATATATTTTTAAAAATTTACTAAACTAAACAGACTACAGTATTTTTACCATCTTTATTTTACAGTTAAAATAAATGTTTATCAAATAAAGTCTAATGTTACAAATAATCATGGATCCCTTTAACTAGCTCCACAATGACTGGGACTTCTGCACGTAGGAATCACACACAGTAATATTACATAGATGATTCTATGTAATAGTCTCATTGTTTAAATGTATGATGATGACAGCATGAGCCAGACTCAGCCTGAACTTAAAGCCCCCCAGCAGCTSATTTATCCCCCCCGTTGTCACTTTGTCAAGTGTACTGATGCATGTAAACTCCATCTATTAGCTTTGTCCCAACAATAGCATCTGTGTGAATATTTCCCACCGGTCTTCTCGAGTTCAAAGCTAATATCAGCCACTGAAGCACGCTGTAGAAGCAGCAATAGCTCAGGCCTACAGCCCCGTCCTCTCCGGTAAGCCAGAGAGTGAAGCCATGGGTGAAATGAGGTGATTCTAAATCCACTGTTCCTCTCTCGCAGCGACAACGACGAGAAGCCGCTGAAGGGCAGCCAACACTCCCTGAGCAGGGAGATCAAAACCGCGGAGAGCGGGGACAGCTTGGTGGACTACGGCGACGAGGACGTCCAATTCAACGAGGACGGCTCCTTCATCGGCGAATATGGGCCGCGGAAAGAGAAGAGAGCGTCCACTGAGATTAAAGCCTCCGTTCAGACCCCAGCGTGAGGAGCAGAATGAGCATCTATCCATCCTACCCTGGACACTGATTTTATTCCAACTGCTGGAAAGAACAAGTGAAAGAACAGACATTATTCAGAACAAAGCCACAGTTTGTGTCAAACGTAATGTGTCATTGCCAACAGCCCACTGCCATACTCATTTTATAAAGCTCTGCTCATCATGTTCCAACTCAATGACCGTTACTAAATACCATGTAAATATAGTGTATATTGTATGTGCTGAGTGTCTTTTTTTATAATTATTATTACACAAAATTTAGAAGATGTGCTTTTTATTATTATTGTTTTCGTTTCCATGGTTTAGGCTGCACCATCTGTACAAATGTTAAATGTAAAATGTCACGTCCCATTTTTTCCATCATTACATGAAACTTTGATGTCACCATTAGCAGGCCGCAAACAAGTGGGTGCGAGCTGATATTTTTCAAGTGGAGCAATTATTACTGACCTTTTATATTTGAAATGATTCATTAAATATGATGTAAGATCTGTGTAAAGGTTTGGCTATTAACTTATTTTTTTCAGTGGTTTTATACCTGACAAAATAACAAGACAGTTCACATATCACTGCATTAGTATCATCATAAGAGGGAATTACTGTTGTAAAAGCTTGTTTATGAGCATATAAACAGTTTAACTGTAATGTAACTGCCCAGCACACATCACTGCCATGTTTGGAAGAGAGTTTTCAACATGTAAAACGTTTCAGGATTTTATCATTCAGATCAATGAATAATAATCTCAGTTTTATTGATTCCAAATAGAAACAAATTTTCACGTTTGCACTTTCAGAATAAAGGCTTTAGTTCAAAAGGTAACTTTTTCTTAAGCAGCTCCTTCACATTCCAACAAATACTAAATAAAGACATGTATGCAAAGTTGCACCAAGCAGCTATGATTCTGAGTTTTTTTAAGCCTAGAAGTGCAAAAATAAACAAGCCTGGCAAAAATATAGTGCACCGGTAATTGTGAAAGCCCCCCTGTGTGGTCTGCTTCTGCAGTAACACACTTTCACCTGCCCATGCATGGGCTTTTAAATAAAACTGAACAAGATTGGAGCAGTGCATGCAGCTCCTCAGTACATGTGAATTAAATATTAAAGTAATACAATATATAAGAAATTTTAAGAAATATAAAAACTCTTAAAGGGAGTCCAAACCAACTAATATCTGTGCACCGGATCTGATACATTCAACAAAAGCTTTTCCTTTGAATGAATCCAGATTGATTTGTAATCAGATGATTTTGTTCAAAAAGCTGAAGTTTTTTAACAAGGTTTTCTTTTGCTGAACTGCCATTCAATCCCCAAATGTTCTGTTCTTAGCATTAACATCTTTATAAAAAACTGCAATGTTTTGTAAGATTCAGTCATTGCATGTCACGAATGTTAATTGTTGTTTTTTATGTCATTAAATTGTTTTACTTTCCTACATTGTAGTACTGTTCAGTCTGTCTACAGCCATATCCAACATGGAAATCAATAACGTCTCCAGATTTTTATACCTGCCTGAAGAAATCTTCAGCTGTTTTTCACACTCTTTCAGATTTGAGGTTTTATGTATCAGAACATAATAAAATTATCTGGTTTTAAATTTATTTAACTAATCAAAAGTGTACCAAAAAATGCGCAATGAAGCCAATARAAAGCAAAATTAAAAAATATTAAGCATCTTGAAAGGCATTTCCACAAATGATTAGGGTGGCCTGTAGGGGTGACTGATTATTCAGGGCCACYCCTGATTCCTGGCTTCAGGATCCATCTCTCTGGGCTGTCTTGACAAAAAAAAATGCACAAAATCTTTGTCTGGATTTGCTGAGAAGTCCAATAATATTGAAGGTATTTATACTGTTTGGGGTTCCATTTGTAAAGCAGCTTGTGCTAAAAAATTTCAGCAAAATTTTGTCACATTTAGCTTCAAACTGTTTTAAGCAGTAATGTAGATTTTCTRAAGTCACTTTTTAGCATATTTAAATAGTTACATCAAAATATCAGAATTAAATGCTAAAAATTAAATTGTTTGCCCTGACCCAGCTCCGGGTTGACGTCTGCCTGCTTTTCTCCACTTCRGAGGCTATCATATATGATTAATTTACATAAGAGGGTGTGGAAATGATTCATTACATTCTGTTTTGAGTGACATCTTTTTTGACTGACTGGGTTGCTCTATGGCTTCTCTCAACAGTTAGTATTGTCAAGGGAGGTCCATATGACCCACCCACAGACTACTACATTTGGTGAACTGTAGAACAAGGAAATCAGCACTGAGCTTCATTCTGACAGCACAGCTTTGTAGCCAATCAAGTTACCTTTTTATTCCATAAATGCAACTTTGGGGGG